GGTTTATCCTTCAGACCAAGCTCCAACTCCTAAAGTCTGCCCTAAAAACTTGGAGTAAATCCTCCCCTGCAAACTTTTCCCTCCTCAAAGCCAACCTTCTTGAAACATTCAAGAACCTGGATGACCTCGAGGAAACACGACCCCTGGACCCATCAGAGCAGGAACTTAGAACCAAAACTAAACTGGACTATCTCTCAACCATCAAAAAATAAGAGACCTACTGGGATCAAAGGTCCCGAGTCTCCTAGCTGAAAGAAGGGGATCTCAATACAGCCTATTTCCATAAGATTGCCAATTGCCAAAGAAGAGATAACTCAATCTCTTTCGTTAAACACAACAATTCTTACCTTACCCAACCAGGTGAAATTGAGCAGGCCATACTCTTGTTCTATCAATCCCTTTACTCTGCCCCTCAAGGGTCGAGACCTAGAATGACCTCCCTAAACTTCTTAACCCTCCTTGTTGACCTAGTATCATGGTTAGAAGGACCCTTTTCAGAGGATGAAATAACCCTAGCACTCAATGCTCTATCCAAGGACAAGGCTCTGGGTCCATAGGGATTTCAGATTGCCCCCGGGAGATCATCCATCCAGACTTCCTTCTCTTCTTTGAAGAGTTCTTCCACAGAGGTATCCTCCACAAAGCTTTGAACGCCACTTTCTTGGTGTTGGTCCCTAAGATAGAAGGAGCCGAGGAAATTAAAGATTACCGACCTATTAGTCTCCTCAACTCCTCTTACAAGCTCTAAGCCAAAAACTTAGCCTCTAGGCTCCAACTCGTACTTCCTAGTGTTATCTCCTCCTCTCAAACTGCGTTCATCAGGGACAGACAAATTCTGGATGGGGAGTTAGTTGCCCATGAATGTATTCATTCCAGACACCTCTCCAAGGTACCTAGTCTCATCTTCAAAATCGACTGGGAGAAGGCCTACGATAATGTCGATTGGTCGATTCTAGACGAGACCATGGCCAGAATGGGCTTTGGGGATAGATGGAGAAAGTGGATGAGAGGTTGCTACTCCCATCCACATTTCTCAATCCTCATTAATGGCACGGCCAAAGGTTTCTTTCCCTCCTCGAGGGAACTCCGTCAAGGCGACCCCCTCTACCCCTTCCTCTTCGCGATAGCAGCTTAAGTCTTTAGTCACTCCATCTCCAGACTCTACCAGGCGGGCTTGCTCACAGAATTCAAGACCAACAGACAAGGCCCAACTGTTTCCCATCTGCAGTACGCGGATGACACCCTTCTATTCTTGGATGCCTCTACTAGAGAGGTCAACACCCTGAAATTGTTCCTCCATTGCTTCCAAAAGGCAACAGGGTTCAAGCTTAACATGCACAAATCCAAACTTGGGAGTCGGTTTGACCTCTACTCGAGTTCGTGCCTTTGTGCCTAGCTGTGGTTGCCAGGTGGAGGACCTCCCTTCCACGGTTCCACCTACCTTGGTTTACCCCTAAGGCTGAGCAAACCTAAGAAAAGACACTGATCGACTGCAATAGATCAGGTAGATAGACGTTTGGCAGGGTGGCAGGGTTGTTTCCTTTCCATGGCAGGCATATCTACTTTGATAAAGCCACTCTCGCGATATCTACCTCATGTCCATCTTTCACATGCCTGCCTCAGTGGCCAATCGTCTTAACCAACTTATGAGGAACTTCTTGTGGTCGGGGCAGGGGGAAAAGAACAAATACAACCTTGTTTCCTGGGACATGGTTTGCCATCCCAAAACACAGGGTGGCCTTGGCATAAAAAACCTCCAATTGCACAACGTTGCTCTCCTAGGGAAATGGTGGTGGTGTCTAGCCAACCATCCGAGTGCTCTTTGGGCTTGGGTCCTCAAGCACAAATACCATACCTCTGAAAAAGATTGGCTACCTCAAAGGACCCAAGACACAATGCTTCAGGTGCATGGAAATCTTTCTCTAAGGCATTCGCTCTCTTTAATAGGTCTATTAGTTTCATCCCTAGAGATGGATCAAGAATCAAGTTCTGGACTGATCTGTGGTTGGGAACCACCCCCCTCAGTCATACCTTCCCCTCTCTTTTCTCCCTTACACGCAATGCCAACTCTACTATAGCGGATGAGGTGGTCCTCTCTAGAGACCAAAGAGTCTGGAGCCCCTCCTTTTGAAGGAGTTTAACCGAAGAAGAGACCAGTGAGTTCCAGGTCCTAGCTTCTACTCTTCATTCTCGGTTCTTCCTGCCCCAAGGTAGAGATGCTATTGCTTGTACACTGCTACCCTCGGGTAACTTTTCGGTCGCCTCTTTCTATAAGAGTTTAGCACCTCAACCTACGCTCTCGGGTCACCCTTGCTCGGCACTCTTAAAAGTGTGGAATTCCATTGCTCCATTCAAATGTTTAACTGGCTGGCTTTTCCTCACAATGCCCTCACGGTGGACAAACCCCAGCATAGAGGAGTCCAACTCCCCAACAAATGTGTTCTTTGCGAAAAGGAAGAGGAAACCAATGTCCATCTCTTCATCCTCCGTGATTTCTCCTTCGAGCTTTGGGGTTCAGCACTGAAATTATTTAGTATTTGTTGGGCTACCCCACCATCGGTCAAGGACCTCTTTTCATATGGGGGAATCCTGTGGAGGGCAGTGGTAGCAGCAATCATCTGGTCTATTTGGCTCGGGAGAAACTCTAGAATCTTTCGCGAAAGTAAACTCCAACCTCCGGCTATCTTCCAAAGAGCTATATCCTTGGTCATCTTTTGGGCTTCAAACCACAAGATTTTTGTGGGCATTCCAGGGAGTTTCTTCCTCCCTCGATGGCTCAACCTCCTTCACCTTAGACCGCAATCAGCCACAAGGCCCAATAATGGGCAGCCCCCCCCCTCGAGGAACAATCAAGTTGAATTTCGACAGGTGTTCCTTAGGCAACCCGGGCCCAGCAGGGGTAGGAGGAATTTATAGAGACCATGAAAGTTCTGCCCTCCTCGAATGTTCAGAGCACATAGGCACCAAGGATTCCACTCAAGCCGAAAGTTTGGCCTTATTATTTGCCCTGAAAAATCATAACCCTTTATGGGGGCACACACCTCATGGTAGAAGGGGATTCCAAAAATTTGATTTCCTGGGCTAGCGATTCTACCCCTCCACCCTGGTACCTTATTCCTATTTTTGACGAGATACAGCATATTTGCAAGGCTATGGACGTCTCTTATTTGGAGGACGTCCAACGAGTACGCAGATCGGCTGGCGAAAGAAGGAGCTAGTAGACAGGATCATCCTCATTTTGAGGCAAGACTGGGGGCAGCCTAACAGTTAGCCCAGCCTTTTGTTCTTTCTTTGCACAAGAGCTTACTTTTGAAAGCTTTTTGTCTATCACCGTAAAAGGGCGGCTCTATAAGCCCTTCTTTTTGGTTTTGTTTGATCTCACAGCTTTATTAAGCCACCGAGCATTGTTGTATTATCCTTGTATAAACCTGACATCTCTATTTTTTACTGAGTCCCCGCTTGTGGGTGATTGCGGAACTGTGTTCTTGTAATTACTTACTTCTTTAATACAAGTTAACCTTCTCTCAAAAAAAATTTCTCGACTTATATAGATGATTGTCCATTTAAATCATACATATTATGTTTTCTAATTTTTTAAGTTCTAATCATGAATCATGCTTGATCTAATAGATATATACACAAAAGAGAGAGGTTTGAGCAGAAAGACTGAACGACCACCTTTTCATTCAGTCTATTCTTAAGCTTAAGGAATGCTATCTAGATCTTGCGGTAGTTGACATTACTATCAGACACATGGATGATACGTGCGAGTGGTTAGTCAATGTTGAAGATGATCCGATATTCCCTTGAGAAGACTTGACTTGAAGCGAAGTTCGTGAGGCAAATAGAAGCAAATTAAGCTTTGTGACAGCCACAAGATCTCAATATCGAGAGAAGAGATTGGAGAGAGTGAAGGAGGAGGAGGCAAATTCACAAGAGACGAGGGATGCAAAATAATATGAGGAGGGAAACAATTCTTATGATGATGGCATGGTATCATCATCAGATGCATTTGGTGGTGTTGGTAGAGATGTAGACATTGTTGGTAGTGATGATGAAACTCAATTGCCAACTTGAGTTCATCATATTTGATGTATCATTTACACTTATGAGTTTGCTTATGTAAGTTATGATTTGTCAGTTAAACTTTCTGTTTGTTGAAAGTGAAGAACTGATAATGTAGAATGTCGATTTGAGGATATGGGTATCTTTTAATTTTCTTCAGTTTTAGAATTTTAGCAGTTCAATTTCAAATTTAAAACTCGTGTATATATAAAATTCTGAGGAACTTAGACAATGTTTTCCATTTTTCTTTTAAATATCGTTTTGTCAGATAGATTGGGGGTTTTGGTATCCAACCCAATCCCCCAAACAGCATTAGGGCCTAGAACACCCAACTCCCTAGATGGGCTGCCTAGGGAACTAGTCGCCCGCCAGGCCAACCAGGCAGCAATAACCCTAGCCACCTAGGTGACCGAATCCAACTTCTTTTAACACTACTTGCTCCCATGATGAAGGAGAGAAGTATGAACCAGCCTTTACAAATGTATGTTTGGATGGTAGGTGCTTTGGAACAAGACATATTTCCCCGAGTTTGGATGCCCACATGCGTTCTGATGATCATGTGGTCAACGCTCCACCTAAAACCATCAATTGTGAATTGGAGGAAAACTTGTGAATTCACCAAGTAATGGCCCTTTATGGGTAAATACATGCCTTAACAAGGGTATAAAGTGGCACTCATAGGTACCATAAATAGCTCCCCTCTCAAAACAGAGCCGAACCATTTCCATCATGGTACCTAGAGAAGGTTTTAATCTTTGTATTGCATGCAACGCCATCCATATTTGAAAATCAATGTAAATATCACCAAGTTTTGTTGGTGAAGGCTGTTTAGGAGCTACCAAGTAAACAATACCAGATAGAAGGATTAAAAAAAATACAAATTTCAGAAACCTTAAGAAATCACATAAACAACAGAACATTGATAAAGGTCTCACTAGGTATTTTGCTCTTCTGCGACATGCTCTTGTCCTCAAGATCACCACCAGAATCTTTTGGATGGACCTTTTGCAAATCATCATCTATGCACAGTTGAAAGAATAATAAAATTGACGTGTACCATCATAACCACAAGATTAGCAAACACAAGTCAAAAAAATCAGGATTCAAGACACAAGGAATAATGGTAGCCTAGCAGATCTTAAGGTAACAGCATAGAAAGAAAGATCTAAACCTTGACTTGCTACTGACTGGCGCAATTCACGGGGTACTCGCTGTTTGGCAAATTCCACCCTAATTTTTCTTCCACCCATTACAGAGTGATTCTTTAGTTGAATGGCACGACCAGCATCTTCTATGACGGCACTACAAGACAGCATGAGAAGTCCCTCAGTATTTTTGAGCAAAAACGGCATGTGATATATCTGAAATGAGAAAGAAGAAATAGAATGTCTCGAAAATGTTGCATATGCAACAACATCATGTACAATTTTTTAAACTCTCAATCTTCAGACAATCGTAAACAACTCTTGATGGAAAAACTGTAAAACTGAGACCATGCCAACACTTGAGACAGGTAACATAACTAATGGCAAGGAATCGTAGAAGTAAATATTAGAATACGTATGAAGATAACAAGAAACCCCAATACAAGTATTTTCTAAATTTCACAGAAACTTTTGAACTATTGATAAAAAGAAATAGTTTTCAACTATGGAATTCAGCAATAAAGATTAGGCTAACAACATAAAGCCACGAAGGACTGATATCTGACACTTGATTCAAGAAATATTAAAACCAGTTTAAACAATCAAGCTGGAAATTCATCATAGGACTATAGAATACCACATGTTTGTTTTATAAGCTTGATTTTGGGAACCACTCCCAGCTCTTCTGCAAATTATTTGTTTCCAATTTGCAGTAATAAGTAACATGATAGTTATTAGCCAAGGGTGTACAAACAGAATACATATATAGAACATCAACCTTCAGACTTGATAGAACATCTGCATTCTTCAAAAACTAAGAAAGTAAACACACGTCCTATATGACATTTATTATGTAATACCAAATTTGTAAGAGCAGGCGCTAAAAGAAATGATGGAAGATATCGGTACCATACTTTTTCATAACACTACATTACAGGTACGAACAGTCAGGAAAAAGGTACTCAAGAGTAAAGAACTTACAACTGAACATATCCAAACCCTCGGTTCTCATCCGATCCTATTTATGTAAATCAAGAAAGGGAAGAAAAGGTAAATCATTAATAAATAACAGAATATACTAAATGTACGTTACACCAAACAAAAAGAAGAAGAAAAGCAAAGCTACATTCAATTAGAAGGTAGCAACTATCGAAATATTGAACCAATGATCAGTACATTTTCCATAAACAAGGCCAGTATAGAAAATGCATAATTCGAAATAGTGCATGTTTAATAAACAAACGGATCGAATCACGTAAAATAATAGAGATAACACTACGTGTAGCAAATAAGCCGATGTCCATGGAAGAACTGCAGCAATTACTAGCATATAGGCAATAAACATAGATTTAGGTTCTGCGTCCAAAGTTTTGCCACATAGGGGCCAAAATTTCAGGTGGTTAATCACAAGCTACATCAGAAAACTCAGGGCCCAAAGCAAGAACAAAGGCAAAGCGGAGCCAACACTAACAACTTATAACACAAATTCATGGGACCGCTCTTTGCTGACTGTCAAGGAATCATAGAACAACATTTCGCCTTGTCATGGAAAATGACGAAATTGTCACCACCAGCTTGATTCATCATGACCATACCCACAAAGGGAACAAAGGCAGGAATAAATATCTTAGTCACAAACCTCAGGTTTCCCTGTGCAGGGATCGCGCGCACAAATCAAAAGATACGATATCTTTTATTTTGTTTTCCCTATTTCTAATTTCAAAATGCAGCAGGTGTACTTGCTTTCATTGCACATATTCATTTAACTTGATTGTAAAAGAAAGCCGAAGTTCTTAAAAATGGAAAAAAGTATGTGTCTTTTGTTTTGTCAACTTTGAAAGTCATTTCAATAATCAGTTCCATGACATACCTTTCGTTTTAACCAAAAAGCAGCGCCTCACAGGACCCACATCACTGAAAGCTTGCTCTAACTGTAATAAGGAAAAAATACTTCATCAAATCAAATCACATAACAAGCACCAGAGGATTCATGCACAGCAAGTACCATAAACAACCCACAAACAACTGACAAGTACCTCTGAGGATGAAAGTGAATACGACAAGTTGGTTACAAAAACCATGGATTTGCAGTGGTCTCCGTCCCTTTGCTCATTGGGTTCTCCCTTTTGCAAGTTCTTCTTCCCCATGTTATTCGACTAACACAACTCTCTAGTGTGATGTCAATTTGCTCAACGTAAGCAATTAAAGAATAGCATGAATTTTCTTTGATCAATCAAATAGGAATAACACCAAACATTAAAAAGATATATATATATATATATATATTTATATATATATATAGGAATAGCATGAATTTACCACACATGTTATGCATTCCTACCAAAAAAATATAAGGATTCAAAATACAGTGTTGAAATTGCACAACTCATTAAAATTCCATCTTTAATGGTTAACAACAGCTGCAAAGGGTGAAACAACACTTACACAACAACATGCCAACCATTGTTAAGAGTGTCCCCTCTCTCAAGGAAATCCATGAAATCCAAGTTAAGTTGGGTGTTCTCAAAAAGTAGTCTGAGATAAAAACATTCAAATCAAAGGCCAAACACAGATACAATGAAGGAAACTGAAATTCTAGAGAGAGAGAGAGAGCGCTATGCACAAACATAGAAGAAGCTTCCCACACTAAAAGTGCATTAAAATCATAAAGAACAGAGTAAAAGAAAGACCACCAATATGCATTAAAATCACAAAACTCAAGAAAAAGGAAAGAAACTAACAAAAACAAAGGGGATTGCCGAACTAGTGTTCCGCGAAGAGCTCAGTAACCAGTATCCAGAATGGAAAACAGGTCAAGAGAGAGAGAATAAAAAAGGTCTGGGATTTTACCTCGGAAACCAGGACTGGTAAGATGACCGCCAAGCTTTTCGAGGCACCAACTCTCTCTCTCTGCACCAAAACACTCTCTCTCCAGGCCTTTGGGAGCACCAAAACTCTCTTTCCAAGCACCAAAATACCCTCTCTAGGCCTTTGGAAGCACCAAAACTCTCTCTCTCTCTCCACCTCTCACTCCCTCTCTCTCTATATCTCTACTTGCAAAAGTGAACCCAAACGTAAAATGGGGACATAAAAGAGATTTTTGCAACTCCAATGCCAAAATTATAACAAGTAAAATTTTGTATTTTTATTAGCGACCTTGGGAAGAAATATTATAGTAAAGATAAAGGAGCAAGGTTTGTATTACTATTAGCTCCCTTAACAATAGTGATAACAGTAAAAATTGTTGAAAATTAAACAATTTACCTACAACGCATAATCTTATTTTAACCTGTAATATTTCGTTTAGTGTTATGCTAAAATATGTATTGGTTTGAAATCTTGAACATGAGGGCTTCCTTTTAAAATTGGCACTACTTAATTAGTTTAATTTGAGCCAAATGGTATAAATTCCCTTGCTTATTCAAATTCCAAATTTAGAGGATATATTTCATCATTATCTTAGGCCTGACATTGAACTTGATAAGAAGTAAGTGTTTATATTAGGACCGGTTTCTATGTGGGCAAGCCTACATATATAGAAATGCGGCTTAATTTTTAAGGACATGTAGTATTTAACGTAGAGATTATGAATATGAACAAATTTATAGATGGATTTTTTGACTTGATTTTTAAGGACATGTAATCTCTAATGTAAAGATCATGAATATGAAAAAAAAGTAACTTTTTAAAACTAGAAATAATAATTCTAGTAAAAAACATTTGGGCCTTTAGTTTCTACTTGTATCCATCTTTTTTTTGGGTAATTCAGTGGAGAAGACAAGCCGTGTTCGCGGTAAGAATGGATACCACGATGTGGTAATTGGGTGTGTGGATGCTAGCACCATGACCTCAGGCCCTTTCCTACTCGCATCCATCTTTAAGATTGATGCTTTACACTATTTTGACCTCATATATTGTCATGCGGTCTGGACCGCATGAAACAAATTGCCTTTATATTATATATCTCGATATGGGTGGAGCCAAATGGTGAATTACCCCCATTTATTTCCAATTCCAAATATGGATATGTGACTAACGTTAAAAATAATAATAATAATAATAATAATCAAATCACTTAAAAGAGATGAATAATTAACACTTTATTTTGACATTTTTATTTACTTTCAAAATACGTATAAAAAATATATGATTTTGAGCAATAATAGTTGTAAATGGGCAAAATTTCAAATAGTTTAGCAAAGGTGGGACATGTGATTTATGCGTGCTCAATTTTTTAAACTCCACATAAGTATTTTTTAGTATTTTTAATCCTATAATTGAAGATGAGAGAAAGTAGACTTAGGTAAGCTAACCATGTATGGCGCCAACCAAATACATCACTTGTTAGGAAGTGGAAGTTAGTTCAAGTGGAATGACTTAAAAAGGTAAAAGGTATGCCCAAAAGGGCTTAGTTAGAAATAGTATGAAAATATATGGGGACTTGTAGCCTCATTGAGGGTATGCCTTTTAATATAGCAAAATGGCGAACCATGATTCATGTAGCCAACCTCAATTAATTGGAAAAAGGCTATGATGATGATGAATCATATACTTTATAAATTGATTGATTTAAAATACCCAAGTGATTTTTTTTGATAGTTTGAACGTTTTAAATACACTTATTGAACTCGACGGGCATTTTTGGTAATTATTAAAATAAATAAAAAGAAAAACTATCATTTGAGGGGTTGAAATCCCCTACAAACTCATTAAATATGTAAGTGATCCCAATTGACATTTGATGGGTTATGTTGTAAATTAACATCTTTTATATAGATACCTCTTCAAAAAAAAAATGAATTATGTTTGTTTTGGATTTGTAATGATGGATAAATCAGGGGTATTTTGATAATTTTAACCCGCCAAGAGGCCCTAACATAATAACAAAAATACCCCTAGTTGTTCCTCATTACAGATATTGAACATATTGTTGATGATTAGTAACGAGGAACAACTATGGTTATTTTTGTTATTTGATATATACAAGACATTTAACAAAAATACTTATAATTGTTCTTGATTACCAACCGCATATTTATTTTTTATAATAAAGAATAATTAAGGGTATTTTCATCGTCGTGTCAAGATCTCTCAAGAGATCAAATTACAAAAATGCCCCTAATTATTTCTCATCCCCAATCTTGAACAATAACAATTTGAATTTTTATTTTTATTTTCTGGAAAATATCATTAAAGGGGATGAAATCCTCTAAAATATAATTAAAATGATCAAATTATTCCTTCTTATATTTGAGGGCATTCTTTTTCTTTTTCTTTTTTGACGTTTCACTCATATCCATTCAATAAATAAATAAAAATAAAAATAAATTACCCTGGCCCTGTATTTGGAATGAGGAACAATGAAAGGCATTTTAAGAATTCCAACCCACGAAGTCATGAGGCCCTACCCAAATGAAGAAAACGCCCCTAAATATTTAGGCATTGCAAATAACAATTGTTCTATATTAGTAATGCAAAACAACTAGGCGTATTTTTGTTATTCTACATATGCAAATCATTTATTAAGTAAATAATTAGAAAAATACCCCCAATTGTTTCACACTACAAAAGTTAAACAAAATATTATTTATTTGCAATGCAAAACAATTAGAGGTATTATTGTCATGTGAACGAGTCCCCCTATTGTTCATCATTCCAAATGATAAATAAAAAGGACGCCCTCAAATGCTAATAGTGATAATTTGCCCATTCTAATGATATTTTAAGGAGTTTCATCCCCTTTAATTCTATTTTCCCTCTTTTTTTTTTAGGTACCTAAGTGAAATAAAAAATAATAAGTAAATCATTAAATGGTAATCAGGACAATTTGATGTATTTGTTGATTTTGTAAAGAGTTTCAAGGGCATTGTTTGGGAACAATAAAGGAACTTCCCCATTTGAAAAAAAGTAAACCTTTGTCTAGATCCAAAAAGAAAAAAATCTCCACACGTTAATTTCCCTTAATAATTGATGATAAATTGATAGCTTCTTCATAATGTCATTTCACTCATGTACCTCTTCTGGCATTTTGTTGAGAATGCTAAAATGGGCATGGGTATGGAAACCTGAAAAAAACATCCACGTTTATGAAGTGAGTGGAATGAACTGTAAAATGCCTTCTGCTTGAGACTCAACATGGAACAAGTGAGGCTCAGGATAACTAGGGTAGTTTTGTTAGGTCCGTTGGGGTACCTAGAGAAGCCTATATTAAGAATAGGTTTTTTCTGGAATTGGGTTATCCTGGAATTGGTTCGTCCCCGGAAAGGGGTGTCTGCTATTTGGATTGCACCTAATAAGAAACATGGATCATGCTTGTCCACTATTTGGATTGCCGGGAAGATGTGAATCCATGGATATTCAGCTGCAATTTTTATATTATTACTCTACTCTTAATTTTATACTGATTAACTTCTCCCATTAATTCCAAACCTCAGTATTATTTATTAACTAAGATGAAATCCTTATGTTTTATTATTCTTAACCATTGTATCATTAATATATAAATTACATTGCAATAGTTATATATAAATAATATCTAAATATTGTTTTATACAAATAAATATAAGAAAATTATAAAAAAATGCCTCTAGTTTCTCAAATTGGAAAAAAGACTCAACTTTCATAAACCTCATCCACATCCTTTTTTTAACTTTTTTTTTTTTTACCAAATAGCCATCATAGTAGTCATATTGTTGTGAAGCCCTAGCATTAAGTGCCGTAATGACTCCCCATTTTATATGGCATTTTAAATTATGTGATAACTTTAAGTATTTTAAATGCCAAAATTGAGGAAAACATGTGTGGATGAAAAGTTTATGAAAGTTGAAGGTTTTTTTTTAAAGTAAAAAAAAAAATTGTAAAAAATTAATGTATATTTATGATAATTTTTCTATATTATACTATAGTATATAACGTTAGAGGAAATATATTATATTACAGTATAATACATCAATATATTATAAGTAATTATCCTATGAGACCCTCCCACACCCATGTGTGTAGGACCCCAAATGATCACCATTAAATTTGGCATAGATCTCTAAAAAAGTCAAGTCCCATACCCA